ATATATATATATAAATTAAATATTAATATTAAATAATTATATTTAATTTAAGGTATTATATATTAAATATTAATATTATATATATATATAGGGTATTAAATAACCATCATTTAATACAAAATTAATGTGGCCAGAACGGCCCGTTTCGAATCCGGAACGGGCCGTTCTGGGTGTGAAAATGAGGCATGGAAAATGAGTCCAGAACGGCCCGTTCCCAATGTGCAACGGCCCGTTCTACTGTCGCATATTGCTCATAAAATGCATTTTTGGAACGGGTCGTTCTAGGTTCCACTGGCAGCGAAAATACCCAGCATAATCGATTATGCTTGGCCAGATAATCGATTATGGCCTTGCATAATCGATTATCCCATAATCGATGCGCCGCCTTCTTGAGTGTTCCCATGAACAGTTTGCAGCGGACTTCCATGCTCCCTCCGCAGATCAACATTTGAGCTCGGAAGTCCGTCAAATGCTGACTGGGGTCCTGCGTTCCATCAAAAGGTTCAACCTGGGGTATCCGATGATCCCTAGGGATGATCTCGGCCTCTATGGCTTCGGAGAAAGGTCGAAAATCCCTAGGGACTTCCATCATGACGTCTTCCTCCACCGTCCTGGTACTGGCCTCTAACCTGGCCTGCATCTCGTCCGCTCGCCTCCTGATCTCTTCATTCTCGCGCTGAATGGCCTCCTCTCTCTCCCTGGATTGCGCGTTCTCCTCCCTTAAGCCATTGATCATGGCCATCATCTCCTCCATGGTAGGGGGTTGTGAGTTGTTGTTGTTATTGCCGCCTCTCGCCATGGTAAAGTGTGGGTCTTCTGTATTACTTGGGGCGTAGGAAAAGTTTCACCGTGGCCCCACGGTGGGCGCCAAAATGTTCCGGCCAAGGGATGAACTAGGGTTTTTTTTCCTATATCAAGCCTTAGAGCCAGAGCATTCAAGAGTGTAATCTGCCTTCTTAGCCTTAGGGTTTTAGGTTTTATGGTGTGTCGTCAATGGGCCTCTTGGGCCCCGAGAATGAAGGGACCTTCCTAACCGTTCTTATCAAGAGGGCGCGAGATAAGTGGGGGCGAGTTTAGTCGGATTCCGACCGACTGGGTCTATACCGAGGGCCCAGTCAGGTAAATGCCGAGTAATCCCCTTATAGGTGAGGGGAATCAAATTAGCTAGTCTAGTCGGGTTATGACCGACTAGGTCTGTGCTGACCCTTCAATCGGGTTAATGCCGAGTAGAGGATCCTGCTCGCCCTATTACTGAATGGAAAACCAGGTCGGATTACGACCGGGACGGCACACTTGCCTTCCAGCCCTGAGCCTATAAGGCGAGAGGGCTTAAGGCCTGACGACCTAGTCGGGTATTGGTCGAGCAGAAGAATGTAGTCACCCTATTGCCGATAAAGAAACCAGGTCGAATTACGACCGGGACGGTACATATTTTTTAATAGCATATTAAAAGCATAGAAAGTTGAAACAATGTTGCTGAATCTTATGAGTTTGAAAAAAAAATATTAAAACTGAAATATATTTTTTTTAATAAAAATAGTTAAGCACATACATAATAACGTAATTATAAAATTAAAATATTTTTTTTTAAATTTTAATGAAGCAAAAACAGACCGCAAAAGTGGAAAGTGCAAACACTATCCTTAGAAAGAAGTCGCATTGCATTGCCTTGCATTGCATTGCATTGCATTGGCGCAGCACTTGTTGTATGTTGGTGTTGAACGATGACGGCGTTTGAGCGTGAAAGCCACCCTCCGTTTCCGTTACTGTTAGTGTTACCGTTACTGTTACTCTCTCCGACGAATGCCTCCATCCACGACTACTCCAACGAGGCCTTCACCCACCGCTCCGACGCCTTCTTCTTCCACGGCGGCAGCGAGGCCCTCTTCGCCAAATCCTTCATCAGGTACGCTCACGCTCACGCTTAGGGTTTCGCTTACCCTTCCCCTTCCGCTTCCAAAACGCTGTCGTTTTCCTCTCCAGGTTCGAAACGGTGACGTTCACGCGCCCTCGCGAATCCGCCAGCGTGCACGGCTCGATGCAGCAGAACTCGGGGCTCGTGGAGGCCATAGTCCTCGAGGTTCGGGATCGGAACCGGATCGGAGGCACGTTCCTCAAATCCGATTTGCTCTGCTGCGATCCCAAGCTCGCCAAGGAAGGAAACTGCAACCTCGGCGAAGTCATTATCCAGAAGAATCCCGATAACCCCCAATTCCCCAAACGCATCAAGACCTTCTTTCAGGGAACCAACGACGAGATCAAGATGGAGACGCAAACCTTGGAGATCAACGCCACCGGGATGTACTACCTCTACTTCATGTTCTGCGACCCTTCGCTTAAGGGCACCACCATCCAGGGAAGGACCGTGTGGAGAAACCCTAAAGGTTACTTGCCTGGGAAAATGGCACCTCTTATGACCCTTTATGGCTTTATGTCTCTAGCTTACTTGTTATTAGGGCTTGCTTGGTTTTTGAGGTTTGTTCAGTTCTGGAAGGATATCATTCACTTGCATTATCATATCACTGCTGTTATTGCGCTTGGGATGTGTGAGATGGCTGTGTGGTATTTTGAGTATGCTAATTTCAACTCCACTGGGGCTAGGCCCATGGGGATTACCCTCTGGGCAGTTACCTTTACCTCTGTTAAGAAGACTCTCTCGCGGCTGCTGCTGTTGGTTGTGTCCATGGGGTATGGGGTTGTTCGCCCCACGCTCGGTGGGCATGGGATTGCTTACAGAGTGTTGCTGCTTGGCTTGTTCTATTTTGTTGCCTCGGAGGCGCTTGAGCTTGTTGAGCATTTGGGGAATATTAATGACTTCTCCGGGAAGACTAAGCTGCTTTTGGTGCTCCCTGTCGTTTGTCTCGATTCCTGCTTCATTCTGTGGATTTTCTCGTCGTTGTCCAAAACCTTGGAGAAACTGCAGGCAATTTCACTTTATCTATATCATTCCTAGTGTGTTGTTGTTGTCGTTGGTTGGTTTGTCATGGGAATGGAAATGTTGCATTGGTTTGTGATTTGACTGTGTTTGAGTTAGTGTTGTTGGGTTATAGCAGGCAAGAGTTGTGTGCTTTTTTGGACTGGTTACTTTTGTGTAACAATTGTGGTTCTATTTTGTGTTGAAATTTTTGGATGCAGACGAGGAGAAACGAAAATCTTTTTCTCTTTTGCAGTAATGTGTATTAAAAAAAATCTCTCTAGTTCGTGTAAGTATCTCTCTTTTTTCGTTTTTGAAAATTCTCTTTTTTAAAAGCTTCAGTTTTAATCTTATTTAAAGACAATTTTCATGTGCAAGGAAACAGTTATTTCAGTTATATTCATAACGGAGATAATCTATTACCTGTGATGGTAATCTATTACCACGAGTTAGAATAACTGAACTAATTATTTCAGCTCCTGTTTTAATCTATTACCTAACATGGTAACCGATTAACACGATGCCAAAATAACACAAAACTCACATTTGGAACAGAGGTAATCGATTACTTTAAAGAGATAATCGATTAACACGATCCTTTTTCCTCTTGAAATCATCAGAATCAGTTTGGTAATCTATTACCACACATGGTAATCGATTAAATCAATACATAAAATAAAATAAGATAAAATAAAATAAAATAGTAATACTTAGATAACTTAACATACAACCGTCTTGGATATATCTCTACCCTCAACTACAATATTATCATATCACACCCTAAGATCAAGCTCACTAACCACACGACATTCACCAATTGATCCCTAAGGTCATCTATCCACATATCAACATACATGCATATTAAATCATATTAGAATACCTACATTAAACCTTTATATATACCATCCATAAGTATGTACATGAACAACCTTTTGTTGAAGATTGTTCCAAATCACGGGAAACAAACACATACTTTCCTCGCCTTTGTTTGCTCGTAAACAGTACATCACCGAAAACAAACACTACCTTAGAGTGAGGAGGAGGGGTTTCGTTGCAATTTGCAACTTTTAAAAATTATAGCCACCAAATAAAATAGTAAACCCTAAACTCTTTATTATATGTTTCTTACATGAAAAGTGTATTTAGTGCTAATTAAAAAATTATATAGTAGTTTATTCATTCAACGTTAAAAAACTTATTTATAACTTGTTCGAACTTTGAACTTATCTGGTGATATAAGTATTTATGTAAAGTATTTAAAAAAAATACTTATTAATATAAGTTGTATGTTGTTAGAAAAAAAGCCATTTGTAGTTCTGAATTTGCATATGAAATTCGTTATTACATTTTTTTGTAATTTTATTTATACACAACGTTGGAGCTCTATATGTCATTTTTGGGTTCATTTTTGGGTTCATTGTAACAAGTGATCTTCACAGCACTTTTGTTTCTAAACGAAATTCAACCTTCAATGCTTCATAAACCCTGTCTATTTTGCAATTAAATGTCTCTTTAGTCTAACAAATAAAGCAATGAAGTCTTGGTAGAATAGAGGGAATTCGAGTGCAAAGTATAAACTAGCTGCACTGCTGCTGAATCAACAATAAACGAGGGACTAAATGCTTTGTGATTTGAGTGGGAAAAGAAAAAACGAAAAAGAAAGAAAATACTGCAAGTAATTCAAAATGAAAGTAGCTTGTTCAGGAAAACCCTCATAAAGAGCCAATCATTTAAGTAGCATTCAATGAACAAAGCATCTCACTCCGATGATAGTTCAGTAGCAGTCCGTTCTATGATTTTACAATCTTGAATCAATCATCTCATGGATTGAATAACCCCTATAGTTAGTATACATAGTAATAATAATATTATATAAGAATCGCATGCCAATTCATCTTCCCTTCTGGCCAAAGAAAATCCAGGTTTCCAACCGCCTCTGACAAATAGAAGACATGGAAATCCCGCTAAATGTTGAGACCGCTCAAATCACTGCTAACTGCGAATACTATATTTGATATATACACTACTAGGCTAATAGCTACCGAAACGGCTTCTGTACGCTTTCAGAGCTCCATCTTCAACTGATTTGAGTGCAGAGACGCTGTAACACAATTTAAATTGAACTTAAATACATTTAAAATTTTCACGTCGAGAAATAACAAAAGATTAAATTAAACAACTTTACTACCCATCTTTCTCACACTTAAATACTTTTGTATTTCGCATTTGAATTTACTCCTTTCCAGCAATTTGTAACATTAAATAAGCGACTGGAATGCCCAATTTATTGTTTTATGAGCAATGAGCAATGAGCATCCTTCCAAGATCCTCATTTGATTTTCATTATCGGAATATCCCATATTCCCATCAAAGACAGAAAACAATTCCAATCCCTTTCTATTTATGAACTCCATGGCCAATGGAAGTAGGAATCATGATGCCATGGAGTCAGAAAAAGTTTTGTTAAACATGGCTTGTGAGACAATGGAGACTAAAATTCTGATCTACCTGAGTTTGCCGACGAGTCATAACTCAAAAGTGAGTTTTCCGGCGTTATGAAATTATGGTTGACTTCTTCCCTCTCCCATAGTGGTTGGTGGAATGCATCGAATTGCCACTGCTGTTGATAATGCTGTCGGTTGCCATTGAGTGGGATTTCTGGCCACATGAGAGGTGTCACCATGCTAGGTAAGTTACTGTCCATTAGAGATGCCCCCTGTAAGTTACAAAGGATATTTTATCAACATTAACCGAAAAGGTTGAACTGGCCCTAAAATGTTTTGTATTTCGTCAAAATCTCTCATGCCCCACTCCACCTATAGCTGAAGACATTCAAATACTCATTTTCAATTCTATAAACCAAGCTGGCCACCCCTGACCCTGATTTAAGGATTAAAATGCAATAACTTCAATTAAAAATAAGTCATTTGTCTAACATGCACATTGCTACTTAGTGCAATGTTATACTATTTCTTAGTTGCTCTGGCATGATATCCAACAGAATGCCATAAATCGCAGTAACTGTCTACAAGCCTCTATTTCACTGTCCCACATGTACCATTTCTGTTTTCAGACAAATATTAATTAAGCAAAGACCATTAAATAGGATGACAACAACATTTTGAAAATTTTATGAATCTCAGTCCAACTACATGATGCATAAAGCATAAGCGCCAATGGCTACAATGAAGGCAGAATAAAAAGCTTCAGAAAGAGAGTCATGCATTATCCCTCAAATAGAGCCTTTTAGCTAAGCCAAGGAATTTTAGGCTTCAGATTGCTCCCCCAATCAAAAATGAATAGATAAAATATATTTTTTTCCACAGAAGATAAAACTGAGTTAGATTAATTAATAACTTACATCAGTAGCCAATAAGCTGTCGAGGCTGAAATCAATTCTTGGGTTAACTGCTGCCAGTTTCATCGATAAGATCTGCAACCAGAGCATAAATCAGTGAGACCAAAATCATATTCATGAAAGTTAAAGTAGACAAAATATTATTACAAGAATATTGTAACTTTTGAGCATCTTCACTAAATAAAAAGATGAACAATTCCAAGAGTATGCCCTGTCTCGAGTCCAAAATATGAGGGGAGAATGGTATGTAGACCCATTAGGGAATATTTTAGTAGATTACAAACCATATAGTCCAAAATAATAGGACCATTACTGCTAATACTTGATGTTTGCTTACAGTTACAGGCAATCAATGTTTTATTTGTTCCAAATGATCCCCAAATCATTCCGGTATACGACACTGACTTTGGAGGGCACAATATCAACTTTTAAGAGTAAAAAAAGTTCGAAATTTGGGAAGGAAATCAAGCCCATTTTTTCAAAAAATTCTAATCATAATCCAAAATTAATTGAGAATCAAATAGATAATAATTAACAAGCATAGGTTGTTCATTGTAAAAATATTTATGCAAAATGTTTGCAATATGAGAGTTTGACCTCCACTTGACGCTGTAGAGATTGCACATGGTTTATGATTTCATCCAGAACCATTGCCGTTCCTGATATCTGTACAGAAAATCAATTCATATCAGCTATACTTGACCTACATCAGCTATTTTGAGAATATTAACGCAATCCAAATCCACTACAAAATCATAGAATGACTCTGTAATTAAAGCTTCCATATCAAACAAAAACAAAGGCCCATTTATGGTAACAACTTAAAACATATTATTCTTCCCCTATTTCCGAATATTACAGCCTAGAATAATTCGAATAGTACTTCAATATCATCAAGAAAGATGAGATAATTTTTTACACATTGCAGCAAAGCTCACTAATCTCTAATTTTTGCATCATAGTTGACAACTCAATTTAAAACCAACCCCTCAATTTTAGTTTCCGAAAATACAATAAAACTGGTGCTAAAATGCAAGTGCCATTTTGAATCGATTAATGAAGAGAACTGGTCCAAAACTATTTTGAACTAAAACTAAATGTGGCTTATTCACTAAGCAAACAAAAAGAAAGAAAGTAAGAAAACTGTTGATTGAAGCATCAATAAAAACGGAAAAAGGAAGTGATTTTCTTTTTTATAATTTATAATGCTAATATCATATTTGTTTTCATTTGCATTTGTTCTTCTAATACTGAAAAAAAAAAAAATAGTTGTCTGTTTGAAATATATTACATATTTTAGTTTGATAAATCTTTTCTTGTTTTTGTTGCTGACTATTTCATCTGTCAATATCACGTAAACAGCAATTTACATATAAATATGCGAATGTGATTTCAAAAACTGTATATTGTGCAGTGTATTATGTTGATATAAACACTTGAAATTTGATTTCCAATATCAATGCACATGACGTATATTATAACATGTTCTTTTGGGATAAATCTTGAGGTATGTATTTAGTTAATTAGTTTATGTTAACGTGACATTATTTTTATTACATAAAAAATGTGTTTAGGTGACATTAATTGGATCGTACAAATGACCCAAGTCAATTAGGTGAAAGGTTTGCTGGTTGGCAGCTGCACTCAGCGCGCATTCTTTTCTCGCCCAATTTTCTTCATCCCATAAATGATGGATACCAAACTCATAAAGATAACGGGACCATCCATGTCAAGTGATGGATTAAATATTAATTTCACTTGCCATAGGGACCCATGGCCATGGATCACTTGTTTGAAGTTCAAGTAGAACCACCCCCTGCCCCCTTCTCTGTCTCTTCCGCCCCCACACGCCCACCATTTTGTCTCTTTAATAAGCCAGAAGGCCGAAGAAAGGAACGATAGGGGACTACCAAAATTGTCGAGTATAACCCATGACGTGTGTTTGTGTAAGCATATATTGTCCTATTTAATAAGTAGCAAACTTATCACCCAAAAATTACCACTTTGTTCTATGTAATATTCTACATGTCAAATTTTTAGGAGTAATAACTTTTTTCTTCTTCTGCATTTTAAGGCTATTTAACTTTTTTTCTTCTGCATTTTATGTTTAGAATATAACTGAATGGGATGGAATGGGATGAGAATATCATTCTATTTTGGTTTTGGATATTTTATAATGGAACGAAAAGAAAATCATTCCATTGTTTGGAAAAAAGATGGAATGAGATGAGTTATAACTTTTTAATTCTTATATTATTCTTATTTTAAATATATTATCCTCAAGAGACTAATGATTAGGATAAATTGGGCAAAATAATAGGAGTTAAGCAATGGAATGGCATGAATTATGATTCATCTTCTTTCATTGTGTTCTACTCTTAATTTTACAAACCAAATAATGGAACTTCTTTTCCCTCCACTTTATGCCTCTCAATTTCGTCCTCTACCACCAATTTAAACATAGTCAAAGAAAATTAAAGGTATATCCAGTTATTTTCTAGAATGAGTTCATTAACAAATTATAACTACAATTATCCTTACATAGATTGGGGTATAACTTGTAAACGTACACCTAAAAAATAATAACTAGGTTACTTTAAAACTTCTCATAGAATTTGCTAACTAGGGGTCATAAACAATAGTACTGTTCACGCAATGCTTCCAAGTCCTGATCAGTCAGAGTGAGGGATGTCTAACTAAACCTGGCCTGAAAAGGCCAAACGGTGATGATGTCGCCTAGCTCTGTTGCCTGCCCATTTATGCTTGGAGGAGCTTTAACGACAGGCGGGATTCTTGGGATCACAGTTATAATTTGGTAAAATTTATTCCTAATTGAGCTGAATTTGTGGAATATATGTGATTCCGATACGGGCCATAACAAGTCATTATGAGGATTTAGTCAGTCGTCGATTCCTTCGTATGATCCTCAGCAGTCAGCAGTAATTAGTGGTGGCATCATGCCCATTAGAACTTACCTAATGTGATAATTAGTTTCAAAAGAGTCTAGATTGATAAATTCTAATGGGTCCTGAAAATCTTGTGAAGAAAACATCACAATCACGACTTTGCCAAACATATTTCTTGTGGATAAAACTCAATTTGCACTCTACCAATAATTGTTTGGGGTGTGCAAACTGTAATCAATCATGCTTTAATAAAGCATGTAAGGCTACACATAGATCACGTTCAATCAGATTTGGTATAAAAAAATGATCCAATCAATAGAGATCGAGTTTTGACATCATTTTCTACAATTAGATTGCACTTGTTTATAAAAATCAAAATTAAAGAATAAAAAATAAAGGTTGGGGTTGAATTACCTAGGAATATTAACCTGATTGCTTAATCAATTCAATTGGATTTAACATAATTCAACCTTTTATAATTAGATCAAGTTGGATTGAGTGAGTTGGTTAAGTTAGTCAGGTTAGTCTAATCCATGTGCAGCCCTAGGAACGCCCTACATAATTGTCAATTGTGTACAAGGCACAACTTATTTTTGCTTTCTTCATAAAAATACTTGAATCTAATTAAAAGTTAACTAACATGTAATACAAACAAAATCAAGACAAAAGTAAGGATTCACTTAAACCCGTGCCGTTGATCATGTGCTGCCACGTAGCTAACATGCGCACCACCCCTACATATAATCTGTTTTTCTTCCCTGACTTTGTACTATAAGTGTCTAAAAATTACTCAAAAAAATAAGATTTAAAGATTTTGTACTCATCAAATAGGTATAGATTTAGGCTTGGATAATTATTTGCGATACTTTGCACGTTTAAGTGAGTTTTGATACTATAATATAATATTCACCCCACACCACAGTACCTACATATAATACAGACTATTATATAATTACATATTTATTATATTTTATAAAAGATTTTTTTAAAAAGAATTCAGTTTATATATTGCACTTTTAATTAAAAAAAATCTCGTTTTGTTGATTTTTCATTTTTAACTTTAATATTAAAATAACATCTTATTTTACTAATTTGTTAAGAAAAGATAAGTTAAAAGCACAAAATATTCTATTCAACCAAAAGGCAAGTAATGAATCCATATCCAAAGGTACTAAAATTACACTTTTTGGATATAAGTAGAAGACTAGTTACAAGTATTTCTTTTATAGAGCTTGGGTATGAACACCAATGCCCTATTTCCTATTTACACACTACCAATTATCATCCCTATCAATACTTCCAGGGACGGAGCCAGGATTTCAATACTGGGGGTGCCATATAGGGGGTGCCATATAGTAATATACATATGAGTTTATATTAAAAATATGAGTTTATATTAAAAATAGGGGGTGCCATATAGTAATATATATGTATATAAAAAAAAATTAAAATTGTTGGGGGGGGCCGTGGCACCCGTAGGTCCCCCCTTAGCTCCGTCCTTGAATACTTCCACCTTCTTTATTCCTTCCTTTATACTCTCTTTTTCTTCCTTCAACCAGTAGTGGACCGTGATGAAATAGACAATGCATTTATTTATTTTCCATTTTAGTTCAGTTTGACATTGACTGAGATCCATGTTCAAGTGTTGGCAGCTCACGTACCACTACTAACATCGAAAGCTCATACAAATTTGGTTTCCTTCACTAATTGTATTTTAAATTCACTTATTTTTTTATAAAAAATTCCATAAATTCCCAAGAAATTTAAAAATGCCTTTTTTAAATCATTCTTTTTCAAACATTTATATAAATAAACTCATGCATAATTGCCAGTGTTGGGGCCTTCACCACGTGATAGCACTAGGTGAAAAGCACAAGTGCCGTCTTGTTAGAAGCCACGTCGAGTTGAGTCTTTTCTTTAGTACAGCTCGTTTTATGGTTAAAGCCTTATTTATTTATTCATTTTCATTTCATGCACATCAGCATATTTGTTATCACATTAAAAGGTTGTGAATTAATTTTATGGAAAAAAATTATGCCTTAAACTGAGTGAGGACACGTGTCCCAATTATCCAATCAAGCATGATCATGTAAAGAAGGCCCAACTTCACGTGGCTTATACATGATTACACATGAAGTTGTGCCTTAAGAGTTGTCCACTTAGGCTGTTCAAAGAAACAGAGTAAATAAATAAAAGAAAAATAAAATAAGGGTAGAAGGCAAGTATATTGTATATATATATATA